TAAGAAAACAGAGGAACTCTGCTTTCTACCTTGAGAAGATGCAACAAGAAGGGACCTAGTTATAAACTAGAAAATAGGACACCAAACATGGTGTCTGACCATTTAAAATGTAATTTCCAGCATACCTTCTCTCACTCTCTTTCTTTATATCTCTCCTTTACAGGAGAATGTCACCATCTGACATTCTTATTGGTTTACTTTTCTTGGGGGGGGTACTGTTTCCCCATGCTATCATGAAAGATAATTTACTATATATCTCCAATGCCTAGAAAAGTATAGCTCAAAAATGATCAATAAATGTTTATGAAAAAAAAGGAAGGCAAATTAATTGCAATAAAATACTAGTTATCCAGAGAGAGAATTTTTGGTCATCTCAAATCTTTGGACCATGTCCATAAACCCATAAGTACCTGGAAGGGTTGATGAAATGGAAACAATGCGGTCAGAAATCCCTTTAAAAGACTTCCTCCCATGCGAGTTCCTCATTTTATGTCTTTAAATCCCACATGCAGAGGCTTCCTCCCAAGACAGACTTAGTTTCCTTGCTCACAGATTGGATAACAAAATATAAAGTAACAGTATGTGGTAATAAGAAGAAACCATTTCACCCCCCTCTCTGGAGTTGGGTAATTATGATAACATTTGGGCATGGATAATGTTAAGCTAAATACAAAAGACAAGCCGAGAGTTTAATGTACCATATAAATAGAGAGATTGATGTAGGATAGAAGAGATACAAACTAGGTAGAAAGGAGACAAGAAAATTGAGATTTTAAAAAGTTGTACTTTTAAGAAAAACTGCAGCTTCGGGACACAAACCCAGTTTTTCTTTTCCTTCTTGTCTCCCAAAGCGCAGTACACCAGAGCAACTCCCTTCCACCTACAGATGGCTTTGCCCTTCTTCTTTTGACTTCAGATATCCTTACTCACTTGTGAGTAAACCACCTTGTCAGATCTCCCATGTGAAGGGCCCATGATGACAGTTTGGGTGGCCATCCTCTCCCGCCCATGAGACATGACTAAGACTATCAATGATTGCAGTCCACAGATTTCCACCACCCAGACCCACAAAAGATGTCCAGTTACCAGTGGTACCATGCCTCATTTCTCTGAGCACTCACACTCTACTCTTGAGAGCATCCTAAATCTCTTTCTAATAAACCCTTCTCTTGCCCCTTACTGATGTGTCCTGACAATTCTTTTTCCATGACAAGAGTCAGCGAACCTGAATGTATTTTAAAGGGGTAGGATAAGTTCCTTATTTCAGCCTCAGGAACCACTCAGACCCAAGCCTGTGACAGGATCCCATTTCCTAAAAGAAAAATTTCAATCATTGGAGTTCTTTCCAGGTGCCAACGCAATGTGGGAAATTCCCTTTAAGTTGATGATGAAATATTTGAATTCTGGCATAGTCTCCTGATGACAAAATAACTTCAAGCAGACTGTACCAGAAAACCCCAGGGGAAATACATGTGTCACCACATGTCAGGGAACAATATTTACCAGATGCTTTCAAAATCACAAATGGTTGATTTGTAACTTAAAGAATTTTATTTGAAAATTTCTGGAACATTCTGTTCTTAAGAATTTGTACAGAAACAAACAAAGTAGAGTCTGACATCTAAATGGAACACTTCAAGTTCAGTCTGTAATTTTGAATAAATGGGACCATTTTGCCTCCAGTTAATTTTTTTCTATTTTTTATAGCAGTAATGAAAAGCAACAGGTAACTAAGTATATCAGTGATCTTCAGTAAAAACAGAGACAGTGTAAAGGATTTAACGTCGGGGGTGATGCATTAACCATTTGTAAAACATTTCTTTAAATTACTAACTTGAAGAGTGGCCACATTTGATACACTTCCACGTAAAGATCTCCTTAAGTGATGGGGCTAAATGTGCACCATAAAGAAAGTAATCATCTTAATAATATAGTCAAAGGGAATAAGACTGTCACTTTTAAAGGTCAGACAGCTTTTCCTTACTTTTAAAATATGTTGTGTTCTTTGTAATAAAATAAATTGAGTAATGGTGAACATCAAATGTATACTTACAGCCACACAAAAACACCAAATTATTACAAAGCAGAATTTTTAACTTTTGATGGAGGAGTGGTCAAGGACACCTTTGAAAAATCTAAGAAATGCAACGACATATGTATACACAAATATTCACACAATAACAGATTCCCAGCAATACAACCATGAATTTCTAGGAATTCTCTGAATCTCTGGTTAATAAACTTCAATCTGAAGGGTAACTGCCATATCCGTATAATCAAGAAACACAATAACCAAACAGATAAAACTCTTGATAAATGAAGCATTATGTTCGGACAAGATTAATTAAAAATACTAAGACTTGGACCACAGAGCACCGGGGTTTGTTCACGCAGATGGAAAGGACTGGATTATGGATTGTGGTTTTGGGCCTCAGAGGAGACGGTCTGATTGCTGAGGGTGGGCTCTTAAAACACACACAATAGGGCTCCGGATTTAGCTCAGTGGTTCTGGCACCTATTGGGGGATCAAACTCAGGACCTTGCACTTGTGAGGCAGGAGCGGTGCCACTGAGCTAAATTCCCATCCCTCTTTCTCATACCTTCCTCTTCCTCTTCCTCTTCTTCTTCGCCCTTCCTCCCCCCTACCCTGTGCCTTTTACTCTTTCTTTTTTCCAGGGCCATATCCCAACCCTTTTTTATTTTGACACAAAATCTCACTAAGTCATTAAATTGCCCAGCCTGGGTTCAAACTTGTGATTCTCATGCGTCATCTACCCAAGGTGCTGAGATTACTGGCATGTGCCACCATTCCTGTTTCAGCCAGCACTTTCTTGAGGAAGAATCCATACAAATACAGAACGACTATCCAAATCCATCCACTTTCTCAGAGAAGGGATGGTCCTCTTATTCTTCTAAATAAGAGAAAGTGCCAAATCAATCTTCTAACTTGGTTTTGAAGTAATATGATCTATAATTACTTTCCAAGATTCAAATGTATTGTCTTGCCTCATTTCAATTCCCAACTGGAAGAAGTCATTTTTTTTCAGACTTTCTGTGTATCAAAGATTGTCGAATGTTCCACTGGGGAACAGGCATGCCAGTTCACCCTCACCTCCCACCCAGTTAAAGCCACTGTTGTAATGAGAATGTATCATGTCCTTTGGGAAGGACCTGGAGAGGAAAGATTCAGAAACCACCTCTTCACTGATTACCACAAACAGTGCAGCTCTCTCCCGCAACCCATAACACCAAAGGACAAATGTAGGGGTAGTAAAGAAAGAGGAGGTCTGCTGACCTTCTGACACCATAATAAAGGGGTAGAAGATAAAGCTTAGGAAGAATTGTTCTCCACATTGTAATGATTTACAAAATGGTTAGGCCATGGTTATATAGCATCTTGATATAGGATACTGATAGAAGGCAAATAACTCTGTAAGAGCGTAAGGCTTCACATTTTAAACCAGTGGGGGCTCTTCAAAACTGAAAAGGATTACACAAGGAGTAACATAAAGCTTGGGCAAGAACATCCCTGGGGTTGTAGTCACCGCTAGATGAGCATATCATTTAACCATGCTTTCCGTCAATTTTCTTATCCCTATCTCAGAATAACTTCATTCTTTAGGACACAGTACCTTGCTCCCGGTTATTTGCAAAGCCAGGGCCTTCTAGTGGCTACTTTTGTCATCATTCTGATTCAGTGGTTTCCTTCAGATGATATTCATTAGCATCCGGATGTCAGAAAGCTTTGCGTTGAACCTTCCATCAGAAGAAAAACTGACCCTCCAAATAAATGATCTCACTCAGTTTCACAGTTAATGAGAGAGGTAATAAAGAGTGCAGAAGGCAGGTTTCCTGCTGCTATTCCGTTGTTTACTCTTTATTTTTTTTCCTCATTGAGTTTATTGGTACATTTTAGGTATACAGTACAGTTATATTCGTCATTGGGATCTTGTACCTTTACGTGACAGGTCTTGGTTTTCATTTTTTCCCCTTGTCCCTGCCCTCCCTTCACCCCCTCCTCCCCTCCCCCTTTACAAACACTTTATTTCCATTTTTTCATTTTCTCCTATCTTTTTCTTTTCCCTTATTACCTTTCCCCTACCCTTCCCACTTTCCCTACACCTTTAGCCTTTTTCTTCCTATTTCACATTGTCAATTATCTCATCCATTGTTTACTCTTTGCCGTTCCTTGCTCTCAACATTCGATGAAATTGTTAATAGGATAATCAGTTCCTTTGCACTCTTGGAGCCACACTTCTCTTCAACGACTCTTGAGTTTCTGCCACCAATAACTCTCTGAAGAATGGATGTCTTGGGGCTTCTTTCATGCAGTGTCCACACTTTGGACAATCTGGGACCAACATATTCATTTGCTCATTCATTTACTTAAGCTTTTTTTTTTTTTTTTAAAGAAGCAAAGCAGTTGCAGGTCCTGTGCTGGGTCTGAGGAATTCAGGGTTGAACGACCGACCGGGTCTCTGTGTTAAAGGAGCTCATTTCTGCTCGGGTAGGCACACAACGCAACAAGCCACAGGAAAGCGCGCAGCGTGTGAGGGCTAGGGACGTGTTCATGGCCCGATTGTCAGGAGAGAGGGTAGCTCACCCAGCCTAGGGGTCGTGGGTGAGAAGGGCCTTCCTTCAGGAATTAACACATCTGGATCTTGGAAACAGCATTAGGGATGAAGAAAAGAGTGCTTTAGAAGAGGGGACAGAATGTGAATGGGAGGCAAGGGCACCTGTAAGCCAGAAGGAGGCAAAGTGCAAAGCGACAGTTCTTTAGAAAGGACACCTCCCAGTTATCTTGCACCGAGTTTTGTTACACATCACGCGAATGTCCGCAATAATATCTTCCCAAGTGTGGACGACTGTTTACTCACAGACAGTGCACACGCGCGCGCACACACCCCCTGCGGCCTGTTCTCCGACTTCTCTGGGCATTCTGTCCATTTCCAGGTCCCTGGGCCCCTGGTCCTACCCGCTCTGCTCTCCCGGGTACTCACAGCGTCTCTGTGCCGGGCGGCAGGCTGGGGATGAGGTGGATATCCTTGCAGGTGACTCTGAAGTCATCCTCCTGGTGGCACTGGCAGGGTGGAGATGGACACTCCTTCCCCACCAGGCTCCCGGGCAGGGCGAGCAGCAGTGCTAGCCGCAGCGGCAACTCGGGCTTCATTTTCCACAGCCCCCAGGGCTACTTGTGCAACCCGCACGGCCGCCTCATTCTCTGCTTCTGCGCCTGCTGTTCCCCCAGGCTAAAGCAGACGGGAGGGGAGGGGCGCGAGGAGGCCGGGCTCGGCGGGCTGTGACCTCACCACCGGAGCGGAGGCCGGAGAGGGCGAGGAGGCTCTCAAGTGCTGCGCTTCCCTAGGCAACTTTCCACGCAAACAAGCCTACTTTCCTGGGCCGGAGCCACGCGGCACGAGCCGTCGGTTCGCGGCCACCCAGAGCCGGTCCCGCGGCGGCCCCACGCGTTCCTCCTGTGATGTTTCCCCGAGCCCTCCTTCAGAGCGCCTCCACCAACTCCCTTGCTTTTCCGCTCCCTGAGCCTTCTACCAGCGCTGCCTCCCCGGGACCCTCCCGCGCGCTTTATCTACACGAAATCCCCGCGGGGTGCAGTGTGCGGGGCCGACCGGTGTCCTGCAGACCTTCGGCCTCTCCCGGCCAGGGAACCCTCTGCTGAGGGTCGAAGGGGAGCACAGGGGCCGGGCCAGCTCTAGGTGTAGCGGAAGCCGCTGCGCGACACCCCTGGAGGCCCCCCTTTTTTGGGGGGGTACCGGGGATTGAACTCGGGTTCTTTCCGCTTGCAAGGCAGGCCACCGAACCGGGGTACCGGGGATTGAAGTCGGGTTCTTTGGGCTTGCAAGGCAGGCCACCGAACCGCTGAGCTAAATCCTCGGCCCCCTTTGAGCGCCCGGCTCAGTGCGCGACCCACCAACTCGTCCAACTCGTCCAGGCCAGACAGGAACTGGGCTCTGGCGCCATCTGCTGTGCACAGCCGGAATCGCAGTAACTGTCTGACTCCCGCGATGGGTCTCTAAATCCAGCTTCGTGAGGCGCCTTTGAAGCCAGCCTGGAAATCCAGACTTTTCTGGTTTGCCTGAAAATGCTATTATTTCATACATCCCTACCTGAGAAGATGAGAAGAAAAAGAATACTTAGGCGTACCTGATCACTTGTACATCGTTCTACACACACTAGTCAAAGAGGCTGACTACAAATAGAGATCAGATCATGCCATTTTCCTTCTTTAGGGTCTTTAGTTGCTTACTAATTCCTCTTAGGACAAAGGGAATATCAACTCCCTATAAACTGCGAGTCCTTTTGTGTGAAACTGTGGCACTGGGGGAAAGCCATGGCGATGGAAATCAAAGTAAAAGTTAAAGGGAAACGATTATAAAAAGGAGAGAACGCACAAGTGTTCCATACTTAAACTGGAGGTTAAGTACGTGTACAATTATTCCTCGTTTAACCACCTTCGGACCTCAGAACCAAGGCGCTGTTCAGACTTATAACCAGCCACTCAGCCTTACCTGTCTTGTTTTTTCTTTTTGGGGGGTACAATTCTGAACACGTTGTTGATAGAATCTCAGTGTCCTTTTTTTTGGGTACTGTGCATCTTGTTTATACCGTAATTTCGCTATTTCTACTGTAAAGTACTGTAGTTTTCTGTTCTATTATACATTACAGCACTGCATGTAGGAGTTACGCAAAGAAGAGCAAAGTCATCAAATTGGAGTTTCTTTTGACCATTTCTTTGTTCTTAATATTGTAATGTGTGTACTGTACACAACTCCTTGAGCAACCAATTCATTTAATGACCTAGCCGAGAGACCGTAACTAGGACATTAAAGGAAGAATGCCTGTATTTTAGGCACATTCACTAAGCATGTTGTGCAAATAAACATAGCATTCATGAATATATATATATATATATATATATTTCGATACTGTCTGATGCCAGGGAAAAATACTCCCTGATATTTTTTTGGATATTGGCCAGTCTCACTGAGAAATTGCTTTTTGTTGCCTCAATATCCGAAAAATGAATGGTTTTCCTGTTTTGATGCAGAAGGGAGTGATTCGGAGCACTGTTGTAAGACCCGCTGATCACATATGATAAATGCAGAACAGCTATGCTAAAGGGCCAGAAAAAATGTGTCAATTCACTCTTTTTATTGGACTTACTTCTAAGGACTACTTGCTTCCAACAGTTTTTCAGGTGGTAGAACTGATTTATTTGGGGTAAAATAAATTCTCAGACATAAACTCTTTAGAAATGATGTTACCTTTGAAACTTTTTGTTATATAGAAATGTCTCATATCATATGGGTGTACATGTTTTCTCAAGGGTTATATATATATGCTTCTGAGCCGTGGGAAACATTGAACAATTATCACTGTTATTCTTGGCCAATTCTTCCCCAATTAAAAAGTAAGTCCCTTCTGAACATTCTACGCGTGTTTCCATGAACATGAGAAGTTTCCTGGCCAGTGGGAATTGGCCATCTTCCTGGTACTGGATAACGGAAAGTTGCTTTTCTCTCTGACTTTTTAGATACTTCTTTGTCCAGCCTCTGGTTTTTCACATGTATGTAATGATTAGCACACTGATGAATATTCCCTGGAGACCTTTTGCAGTTCTCTGGAGTTTTTGCTCTAAATGGCTCCTTGTACACCTATAGTTTATCCTAAAACTTCATCTACCTTCGTCTTCCCAGGCTCTGAGATTTGCCTTCATATCAGAGCATGCACTGGGCTCTGTCTGGGTTCCTTTTCCTTCTAATGTGGCCTAAATATTCTTTCAAGACAGTAAGTTTTTTTTCATTATTGGGGATTGAACCCAGGGCTTTCACACGGAACTATATCCTCAGCCCCTTTTCTATTTTTTACTTTGAGATAGAGTCTAATTAAATCATTAAGTTCCTTAGGCTAGGCTCAAACTTGCAATCCTTCTGACTCAGCCTCCCAGAGTGTTAGGATTATGGATATGTGCCAAAATACCAACTTCTTTTTAAAGATGGGGTTTTATTATGTAGTCCAGGTTGGCCTCGAACTAGCTATGTAGTAAGGCGACCTCAAACTTATTACCTTCCTGCTTCACCCTCCTGAATGCTGGAATTACATGTGAGTGCCACCACACATGTCTAATTTTCACTATCTTGAAAAGTGTTTTTCCATATATTTTGTCTTTTAATTTTTTCATCTAGTTGATTTTGATGAGAGGGTAAATCTGGTCTCTTACTCTACCTTAACTCAGAGCAAACGTGCTGAAATCTGTAACGTGTGTGTGTGTGTGTGTGTGTGTGTGTGTGTGTGTGTGTGTGTCTAGAGCGCAGAGGGGGCTGTGTGTGAG